TCTTTGTGATACTATTTCTTTTATTTTTTTTTCTTTTTTACTTTGATATAATTATGACTTTCAAGCAAGAAACCAACTGTCAATTCATTTTACAATTGTAGAATCAGGGCATTCGAGATGCCAAAGAAATCCATACCATAATCAATATATCCCTTTCAACAATATACGATAATATTAATAAACTCAAAAAATATAACACAAATAAATATGCTAGAAATAAAGGTAGACTCAAGAAGATAACTGTACGAGCATCAAAGGCATTAGATCAATATATATGAAGGGATTCATCTATTTCAATGAGAACTCTGTGATGAAATTATTAAAAATTAATATAAATGTGTCTCATCAAATGGTTAGAAGACATTTGGTTACTCTTGGATACAAAAAAGTACTCCTACTAAGAACGCTGATGCTTACTGATACTCATAAATATAAATGTATGACATGGGCTCATGAACATCTTGATGATAATTGGGATAATACTTTCTTTTCAGATGAAACAGCTTTTAAACTCTTTCAGAATATGATAGAGTGCTAGTACAAGAGAGCACGGTTGATATGACATATACTCAAGAATCAAAGAAAGATTTTCATATGAGGAGGATTTTGTATAAATGGTAAAAGTAGTTTATTTTGTTTTTCTGAAATTATGGATGCCAAATTCTATGTCAATATTCTTTGTGAGCATACTCCAGAAATTGAGTAATTGATGGAAGATAAATAGTAGTTCCAGCAGGATAATGATCCAAAATATACAAGCCATCTTGCCAAAGCATTTCTTGAAGAAATCATATCCAAAGTTTTGGACTGGCCATCTAACAGTCCTGATTTGAATCCCATCAAAAATCTCTGGTGTATTATTAAGAACAATGTGAAAAAGCATATGCCAAAAAATTTAGATGAACTGTGTTATTATATGATAAATGAATGGGTGAATATTTCTGAGTCTACTCTAATTAATTTAATTAGGTCTATGAGATATTGTTGTGAGCTTGTTATAGAAAGCAATGGCGAACATATATCATATTAAAAATAATATAATAAATTAGCTGGTCTTAATCTTCGAAATGCATAAATTTCATGTGATTTAAGTCATTAGTTATGATGTGACGAGTAATTTTTTAATTCTGAATACTTATGGATTACACTATAAATACTATTTAAATAATAATATCATAAGTATTTATAAATTAAAACTATTTATTTTATATTTTATCTTATTTATAATTATAAATAAATAATTTATAATAAATAATTTTAAAACTTATCAAGAGCTAATTACTTTTTATATATAATAAATTTATATTTTTTAAAATTTAAAAAATTATTATTAGTATTATTTTTATTAAATAATTAAATATTATAGAATATATTAAATAATAATTAGTAAATATATATTAATATTATATTTATTTTATTTATAAAATTAAAAATATTAGTATATTAATTTGAATCTTATTATTATTCAAGTAATATTTTTCAAATTTAAAATTATATTAACTAAGTTTTTAATAAGTTATACAATGGTTAATAATAATAACTTGATAGTTCAGTTATAAAAAGCTGCTTTAAATTATAATATTATATTTCTGAATATTATTTTAAAAATTAGATTTAATAAAAATTGATTTTTTATCTTAAAATAATATATAAATAAATATTATTTTATAAAAATATATTATATAAAATATAATCACTTTTTAAAAAAATATTTTATATAAAAATATATTACTTATAAGAATATTTTCATATAAAGCTATATAAAAATTTTATTTTCAAGTTTTTTATATTTTGATTAAATTCTTATAAAGAGAAATTATTTGAAATATCTTTTAATTTTCTAATATTAGATTATCATTATTTTTACTAGAATATTTAGTTATTTAAATTTATTTTATAATATCAATAATAAAACTTATTTTTTAATTAATATCTTTATTATAATTATAAGTATTATAATTTGAATATATATTATATTTGAATCTACTTATTTTATTCTATACTATCTATATAATATAAATAATATAGATACTTAAAATTTTGAGAAAATAAATAAGATAATAATGATTTGCTTTATATAACTTATAAGAATTAAATATTCTAAAATATGATTTTCTTTTTATATTTAGTATCTAAGTATATATAATTATCTTTTTATATTTAGTATCTAAGTATATATAATTATCAAGTTTTTAGAGAGATTTTTTAATTATAGTTAAATAATAACTGGAAATTCAAAAAAGAATAACTATAAAAAGATGTAACTATAGAGAGATTTAACTATAAAAAAGGTCTGACTATATTTAATAAGCATTATAAAATTTATTATTAACTATATAAGAAGTACTAAAAATTCAAATTGATTTAAACATATCAAAAGATCAAACATAGATTTTGCATGGAATAGGTTTTTTAACCTTGATTTGCTTCAGACAAATACTTATAGATATTTTTTACCGAAATATCTTCCAAAAGTTAAATAAGAAAGAAAGGATGACTCCATAATATCAAGCACACTTAAAAGACAACCTCAAAGTTAAAACTGGCCAACTGGCTTAAACTTTATCAAGAATTTATAGAGTATTATTAAAGCAGAGATAGAATGCTTATATCAAGAAGCCTCAAAGAAGTATCGAAGAAGTAGAGCCTTTTATGTGGAGTAGTTCAATATTTAAGAAAGTTCTTGTAATAATCTTGAACTGGCGTTTAGAACTTTGTTTTCGATTAAATACGCATATATTTTTTGAATTTAAATCCGCAAACAACACTTTATGAAGAAAACTTCGTTTTAATTTTACTAACTGTTTGCGAAGGTATATTTTATGCTGCTATTTTAATAAAATTTTTATTAACTTAATTTACTCATAAAGTTAAGGAAATAAAAATTTATATAATTATCACCGTCATTGTTACAATCTATTATTTATTTATAGCTTTTTCGATCACTGAAAATACTTTTTAACCTTTGTCTAATTTCCAGATGGTTTTATATCGATATGCACACGTCAATTAAAGTTTAATCTCATGCAATTTTTCACATCCAGTCATTGCGTCGATGTAACGCGAATTTAAAGCTGACGATAGAATTCCCTCACACCGACATCCCCATTCATTGTTGGAAATCCATCCAATTTAATGTCCTCATCGAGGATACTAATGTTATCCTCATATTTAATTTTGTCCTGAATAGAAAGCATATTTTTTTTACTAAAGAATTTCGTTCTCATCCCATTTTACTGATTTCCTAGTAAATGTACTATGCGCTTTATTTGAAACTTTATCCTCATAGAAACCAATAATTAAATAAAAGGAGAATAACGAGAAAACTCAAATGAACTATGCAAACTTGGCACGAACCAGGGCTACAAGAGTGTAAGCAACAACGTAACATAACCTATGTCCTGACCAAACACTATTATCAGTTACGAATAGACAACTTGTACGCACTGATTTACTGAACATGATTCAATCAAACACAGCTAGAATTAATTCACGAAAAATGTTCACTGTGCTAGGCCCTACACAATCAGATCTTGAGAAAGCAAGAACGGAGTTTAGCTATGCCACAAAAAGGTAAGAATGAAGAATTTATCGGTAATGCAAGTGAAAATCAAAGAATTTACCGAAATCAGCAGGTTAAACAGTCTTGAAGATTGTGATGTTGAAGATGAAAATCTGTTGTAAGAGACTAAATCAACAATCCCATAGACATTACAGTAGAAGAGCCTACGTTTAAAGTAGATTGTGCACGGCTACCATTGGTCGGAATATAGCATAGGGTAATGAGCCAGACTGAATCATTTACACGAAGTGGAGGATCGCTAACGTTCCCAAGATTTGTGCCAATTTTCATGAAGATTATGCAAACGAAAAGTAAAGGTAAAGTATAATTAATACAAATACAAAATGAGGTTAACAATTCAACTAAAGAAAAATAATTAAAACAACAGATAGATAGATTCCAAATCAAAAATAAAATAATAACAAAATAACAAAGTCAATTTGTTCAGATAAAAACCGAAGGATTATTTAAATGAGTGTTATAATTGTTTCATGTCTTTTTATTTTTTATTTCATACCATATATGCTTGCTTTTTGAACCTCCAAGAGCCATTCTATATATACAAATTGAACGTTACACAACTATGTATGTTACAAGTTTGATAAGAATTTAAGAAAAAAATTAAAATTCATGATATAGCACAAATTAGGAATTCATTAATAAATTTATATTATTCCAGAAATTGCTGGAATTAGGAAATTTTATGTCGCGATGACAACACTAGCATTTTCATTCCATTATGATACCATCACTGAATAGTCGTGGTCTTCCAATATTACAAAGCTGAAATTTCTCGAAATTGATTTATGGTTAGTCATCATCCTTTTTGTTTTATACAAAGTTGAAACTGGTTTGTGACCACTTACATACTTCTTCTCGCAAATGATTAACAGCCTGACGAGGGAATAGCTCAATCTTTTACCATCATATCCATAAAAATTTAAATTTATATATTAATAATGCACTATCTTGTCATGTTCATCAAAAGCCGTTATTAAGTGATTCGTTTCATAAAAAATATTTAGCGTTGTTTACAGAAGAAGACACTGTTAACGTAGGAATGATTTTAGGTAATGAGGGTATTTATGAGAGAAAGATCTGTAAGGGTTGTGTGGAAATCGATATTGTTGATAGAGTGTAGGAAACTTAAAATGCAAGCAACTACATTTATCAGATCAATACGTAGCGCGTGTTCTATGTGCGTTGCATCTTAGTTTTCCATGAATTTGCATTTTTTTTCTTATTCGTTGTAGTTTTTTCCAACTGTGGTAAATTTTCGACTATTTATACCTAGCAATAAATTGTTATACTGTGTTGGGGTCTCGCAACCATAATTTTCGCATAAGCCGTAGAAGAAACGACATTAAAAAATTGAAACGTAGCGTATAAAGCTATCTTTATTGTTATGCTTTTCATATGGAAAAACGTATTTATGTACATGTATACGGAATTTGTCACGGTTTTACATACATTCCATGCCATCCTTGCAATTTCCTTAATTGAATGTGCTTCCCTTGATAATAACAAAGATTATTACCTAACTTACTATTATGTCAGCCAATATCATATATGATGGCTTTTTTAACAAGGAAATAAGTAGAGGCTTGTACCAGAACAACTTAGAGTAAAGACACGTAGACACAAAATAAGACTTTAATTAGCGTTTATAATTTTCAAAAAACACATCAGTGAATATGACGAACACTATAACAATTATTTGTTCTGTAATATCACACATAATCCAAAAGTTGGGTCCAACACGTACAGTCTATTGTCCAAAAATGTGAAGTTTTAGCAAAAAATTAGTGTTACACGTAAATTAAACTTTTGGGAAAAGGCTACAGCAGCTCGATTAATTATTTAATTCATTGGTCAACATCTTTAAAGCCAATATTTCAAAAATAAGGAGGAATGATTTCTAAAAACTTGTCTAATAAAAATCATCAAAATAAAATAAATGAATTTGTTAAATTATAATTTTTATTTATTTATGTACTTTTTAATAAATTATTGTTTTGATTATTACATGTATTTTCCAATCTAATTCTTACCGTCAAAAAAACAGGGTTGCCTATAATTCTGTATTAAATAAAAATCTATTTCTACATAAACCTTGAAAAATGTTGATATCATTCGTTACTTCGATTAATATTTGTGCGATTGCATTCGGAATACAGTAATGTGTATCTCAGGAATTCATTGAATGATTTCTTAGTTTTTGAACAACAACGAAGTTCCTGAATAATTTCCTATAATCCATATATTTTTTCTCATAGGAAATTAGAATGAGTACATCTGTCTTTCTTCAACTGTTAAGTAAAAATTCTAGTATTTTATTAAATGAATGATTTTATGTAAAAAACAGAATTTATATACATCTTTACTTTAGTAATAACGATACCTTGATTGCATAAAACCCGTGATACGTAATTACATGTCTACATGTATTGGAGCCAGCAAATTTTTTAAAATGTGTGTTTATTTACATGTAAATGTATTGTTATTTTGATTGTTTGTGGTTATCATGTGTGTATTTTGAATTTTGTTTTAATATGAGAGAACAGATTATTTTATTGATATGTACTGTAACTTTGAATCTATAAAAGTATTTTGTTTTAATTCACGTTTTCACAAATGAAAATCAAATAAAAGTTAAAAGATAACACGAAATAATAGTAATGAGTTGAATATATTAAACTACACATAAAATATATACATGTATATGTATGTGTAAATACATGTACAAAGAAATTACAATTACTTTTAGTTCGTTAATATTTAAATCTGTAGTTATTCTTGCAAATCATCATTTTACGAAAAATATTAAATCGTATTTATGAATATTATCAAATATAAATTTGTTAATAGAAACTAATATTATTATATATTTAAATTGATCTGAAAATGAGCATTTTAATTAAATATAAAAATAAATTTGCGTACATGTATCATCTTTTTATCAAGCTTATCTCAATTTCTTCGTGTGCAGCATTGAGTATTCAAATAATCTTTATCATCATCATCATATTTAATAGAGTTTTAAGTTCTGCAACAGTTGATCATACGGAATAGTACATGTACATGTATATAGATGTCCCATACGGATCTCTATCATGACTTCGTTGACACAAATCAACAAACGTTAGTCTATATGCATTAAATGCAGGTAAAATTATTAATACATGTATTGTTTAAAATATATCGATATTAACGTTAAATATTTACGTTTAGTTTTTCTGGATTGTATGTTCCGAATGAAGGTAAGATCACTATTTTTGTTAAACATGTACATGTAATATGCAAGCAAGACGATCGTCGCCGCTATGAATGATTGATCACTATTAACTTTATACATGTATGGCTAGGATATCAACAGTCTAACTTGAAAATCAGAAGACATTTCCAATAGACCCCTTTTGAAAAATTTACCAAATGTAAAATATCTTGCAAAAAGCAACAATATACATGTACTGTACTATTACAGATGGAATCATGAAGGAAATAAATTTGAATGACATACATGTATTGAGATCAAATGAAAAATCTACACGTAATTATTACGGTGTCTCGATTGGGTCAAATATTAGATTCCACGAGTGCGCAAATGATAAATTATGTTTGTTGATTTTACTGCTGGAGGTATTAGAGTTTGCTGTAATAATAGATATTACGTACTCTTGCTGTGGTAGTTCATATTATAGCCCATATTTGGGATATTTAACGCGGACTTTTTCATACAGAATGAACAATCCAATACGGTTATAGAGTGACATCTAGTCTGGTGAGTATGGCATATGCCTTTTTCCGATGTGTGAATTGTCATCCTTATTACCATATAGAGGTAGATAATAACGATAGTAATGATAACGGTGGATACCGTATTTTATTGGAAATATGAAGTCTTATGCATTCGTACATGTATTACATGTATCACGTTTATGCATTTTCACATAACCAGATGATTATGACAGATATAGAATGTGCACATTTATAGAATGCGCACATTTTATTTTACATAGCAACAATAATAACGAAATATAATACAGAATGCGCAAGAAAAATTTTTATCGATTATTCATGTACGCAAAAAGATAAAATCGTCAATTATTATTGATGAATTAATTTATCGATTTACCTAAATCTTTAATGGTTCAATTGATTCAACCAAACTTAATTATACATGAAATTAACAACAATAAAGACCCAACTAAATACTACAATGAGAGAAAAAATGCCAATTAAAAAATGAATATTAATGGTAAATAGATACAAAAATGAATAATTGAATTATGATAAATTAAAAGATGAATGAAAAATGATGTTTGATATTTACAAATGCAAAACAAAAATGTACAATTATTAAAAAATGATTATAAACTAAGAGAAAATGTTATCATTAAAAACGCCACATTATTTATTTCTCATGACGTCGTCTTTGCTCAAATCTCTTTGGGAAGACGCATCTTCCTCCTCCAAAATCGGATCCAACAACACGGAATTACGTTGACTCGCCATCGTCTGCGATGGTTTACGAATGATACGAGCTGGAGGCGTAGGAAGAACAAACATGTGAAAATCCGGATTCAAAGTTGGCGTTTGTCGTGGGAATAATAACGGACTGCCAAATGGACTAGAATTTGCTGAGTTGAATGCAGAAGAACTGGCCGAGTTACAAGGAATGTATGCTTCCGGATATATTTCGGTAATGTAGAGAGAGTGGACGTCGTCGGTTACTTGATTGGCAAAGGTTACGTGGGTTGATGGGGATGAAGAAGATGAGGAGTTTGGTCGTGATGGAGTTGAATGCATTTTTTGTTTTTTGATGTTGGGAGATGCGTTAAACTTTTTGATTTTTTTTGTAGTATTGAAAAGTCCTCGTTTATTATTTTATTAATAAAAAATGTCGTTTTCCAGTAAATGGATTGTTAATAAGAAACTAATTTTGGTGTTTGAAAAGATATCTGCGGCAGAGGAGAGTAAAAAATTACGATGATAAAATTTGTAATAGTAGAAAAGAAGATTTTAAACAATCAAACGAGTGCAAGCAAAATTAAATCATCAAAAAATCGATAGATAGTAAAAGATTTGTTAGAGGGTCTGGGTTATTTTTATATGTGCGATTCTCTTAAATGGTGTTACAAATATTGTTATCTCATTATACTGTAACGTGTATGAAAATGTGTGGTATGAGAGTCCCAAATGTAATTTTTACGGTAACAACAATTTTTGTGTGTGGGTGTTTTTATTTTCCTATTATACTGACAGTCATTATTTTATAATGGAAAACGGAAACGAACCGGATTTTCCCTACTTTTGGCGATTTGTTTACAAACCTTATAAATATGGGGTGTTTGTGATTCGTGCGTTTATGTGGTGTCAGCGATTATTAACGTGTTTTTCTCTTATTAAAAGTGTCTTCCAATTTAAGGGGCATGAAAAACTTAATATATTATTTATTATTAGTGATATTTTAAACATAGTAGACAGATTAATCGTCTTGCAGCGAGTTACATGTACCATTAACAGGATAGAGAACAGGTTTTTTTTCGCGTGGTATGCATCGTTCATACGCAGCAACAGTATAATGGGATAAAAACATAGTTACTTTGAATGTGTGTGAGATATGTGTAAGGGTTTATGATTGATTTGAATGATTCGTATGTAACATTGATAAAATTTTGTATCAGTCCCATCACTACATTAATTAATTTATTCTTGTATCATACTTGTTTTATCTCCATAAAAAGATGTATTAGAAATTAATAGAACCAAGAATTTTCCTTGTAAAGAATTTGGGTATGTTCCCACCCATCTAAGAAAACTTTTCTGTTCGATTCCAAAAGAATAAAACAAACAATCTTTTTAGGAGTTATGCGTGGGAAGCTCTGTACACGTGTATTGCTGCATGGGTATCTACCAACAACAGTAAAGTTTAACTAGTGGCGCGCGTGTTATTTGGGGCTTATTTTCTAGATCGGGATATTCGTGTCAAATGCACGAGTTCAGAATTCGAATTGGGATTAAAAAACGTGAAAGTACAAAGTATTTCGATTTTGGAGCCTATTACATGTACTGTTATTATGAAAAACTTTGGATATTTTATACTGTATAAATCCTTTGTTGATAACAATAATTTTTTGTACCGCATAAATCGTAGTTTATTTTTCTTGTGAAGTATGACATCAGACCAATAATTTTTTCTGTTAGAGAAATCAAAGATATTTGTTACTTTGACGTACCAAAAATAGCACGAATTAATTAGCAAACGCATTGTACAATTAATCTATATAATTAATTTGAGTTATGTTGTTTGGTATAAAAAAAAAGGCATGATCGTGCGGCTACCTGGCCAATCTAAGCATTTAAAAATAGAAAAATAATGTGATATTTTATAAATACAATTTTTGAGAGGCTGTGTAAGGAGCGGAGCTCTACAATCATCATTATTATAGTATTACTATGATTGTTGCAGTTAATTAATATAATTTAATACTTAATTCACAACTTTTTATCACTCTTGAAGATGTAACTAATTTTAGATACTATTCAAATTTAATCAGTCATTTTTCTCTTTGTTTTATTGAAAGTAAATGTGTACACGCATGCATTTGCTTACTTTCACAAAGTGTGGGCATATCAAATAGGACCACGTTTTTTTGCAATTTTAAATCCAAGAATTGATAAACATTGTAACAACTTTAAATTAATCGTAAACCAATCAAAAAACAATATGGCATTTTAAGCTACGTATCCCAATGACTGTATACGTAACATGAATTTGTAATTCCATGAAATATTTAGATGGTGTTACGCTTTAATTTTCCTATGGAACCAACAAAATCCATTTACACGTGTGTTTGACTAAACTCGAAAACATTGGTACAGGTTTCCTGTAAAAATGGTCAAACCATTTACAGAATTACAAAACCGTAGTAAATGAAACGGCTTTACAATTGGGACCTTGCAAAAGCGGACGAAACTGAAGACAGCAATACTTGAATGCTTTAGTTTATACATAAAGATGATGTCTTGGTGCCCGATATTCTCTTGCTTATAAAATTATTATGACATGGCATAGTAAATACGTAACTAACTTAAGACTTTTTTGATTCATAAAGAGCGACGAATAAAAAGATATTTTTAAGAATTAAATTTATTATTTTGTTCAGTAAATATTAATATATTCTAAAACATAATTTAAATATCTGAATTAATTAAGTTAGATTAACAATTTTATTAGTTAAAAAAATTAAGTTTTTTGAAATTATTTTGCATAGTGAATTTTAATATGTATTTAAGTTAAAAAAAATTTTATTATAATTTTTTATTATCAAAATGTTGTGTTCTTGAAAAATATTAAAGCATATAAGTAAATTACTCAAAGAATACCTTAATAATTAATTCAAGCTAAGCTAATATATAAATATTTTCATAATATATAATTTGAAACTATGTATATTTTAATTAAAATTAATTAATATTTTAATTATTGATAATTATTATTAATTAATGAAAAATTAATATAAAGATAAATATATATATAAAATATTAATAAATGCAGTATAATATAAGAAAAAACTATTTGTTAATATTTAAATATTATAAAAAGTAATTAATTTTTACAAAACTATATGTATTAAAAAATAAATTATTATAAAGTACTTATATGATTCAGTTTAGTAGTGATAATATAATAATATAACTTATTTTAATATTAATAATATAAATATCATTATAAGATTAATAAAATAATAGATGAAAATGTTATTGATAAATTCTCTTAAATAAATTTTTATTATCATTAGATTTTTATAATTTAAAGCCAAATAATTTTATTTTTAATAGAATAATAATTCAAAATATATTATAGATAAAACTATAAGATGATTGTGAAATAATAATATTATAATTTTAAAGTAATTATTATAATTATTTAACTTAAATCTTATTAAAATTTATAATATAATATTGATATTTATTTTTATATTAAATTAAATTATTATATTTAATTTAATTAATATAATACTAGAAAAATCAATAATATTCTCAAAGTAAAAGAAAATTATAAGATAAAGATAATTTATTCATAAATTTTTTTATTATAATTATATTTTAAATAATATTTTATAGGATAAACTTTTTTATTCTTAATAATAAAAAAATATATTCTAAAAATTAAGTAATTGCAAGAAATATTTTTATAAAAGTTTTATAAATTTTTATATCTTTATAAATATTTAATAACTTATTCATTTTGATATTTAATATTTTTAAATTCAATTAATTTTTATTAATTAAAAAATATATTATTAATACAAATAGTATATTATTAATATAGATTATTATAATAGAATATAGTTATAATTAGAAGAGAATTATTAATTAATCATAATTTTAAATCATTATATATAATTATTATGTAAAATAATATTTCTAATTTATTTTATTTCTGACTTATATATATTAAAATATTTTTTTTATTATAATTAATATATTATTAACTCTTCATATAATTATAATATTACTTTAATTTCTTAAGATATTGAGTCTATAATCTTCTTAAAAATAAATATATCAATTTTCTTCAAAATAATCTTGAGCTTTTTCATAATTCTTGAAAATATTTGCACTTTTGAATACTATTTTTCAATATTTTTATGAAATTTGAATTATAAAAACACAATATTTATTGATTTTTCTATTTATAACTTCTTTTTCAATTATAGATCAAGTATTATTTTTAAAATCTCATGTTCTCTCAAATCAATGAACAAATTATATTATGAGAAGAAATCAAATTATCTTAAAGAATATAAAGATAAGCTTTACACAGATTTTTTATTATCAATATTTATGAAATCACTCAGAATATCTTTTTTAGTTTCTTGTATAATGCATTTTTATTGATTGTTAAGAGCTTATAGTCTCTCAGACAGTGACAAGAGATCATTATACTATTACCAGGTTATGGTATATTTTATTGCAGCTTGCTTGGCACTCATAATTTCAATAAAAATCACTATTTTATTCTTATCAAAGATGGCTAACTGGTACAATAGATATCATATTTATATCTAAAAAAAATTTGTCTAGCGTATGTTTAAAAGTCAATAATAACAAAAAAGCGACGTATATATTTATCCATGTTGTTACACATGCAAATCGGACGCGGCGACTGTACATATCGATATGCTTTACTAATTTATATCACATACAATTATGAAACATGCTTTAAATAACCGTTAGCTGCTAACAAATTCTCAACATCTTTGATATCACGCTTCAACCATGCACCGTTCGTACGAATATTCTCCAAACTCTGTTGCAGTGGTCGTTTGAAGTACTTGATATTCTTATCAGCAAAGAATTTCTCTATGTCGATTATTGTTTCGTCTGATGCGAACATGTCTGTTCTAAACTTAATAATGTATTCGAATAATTTAATTGATTTTGTATATTGATCTTGGAACTATTTAATGTAAACGTAAATTTGATGTAATGATTAAAAAAACTAGTACGATTTTAAACTTTCACCAAATCCCAATTTTTTTTGATAAAGTTCCACAATGGCTTTCTTGATTTACGATTCGTTTGCAAGCTTTAATTTTAGTTAGCAGACATAACTCCGTTAATATTCCACATTAAAATAAAACGAGATGCACGAAATAAAAACAATTTACCTTCTAAAAATATAGAGAATATCTTGATGACGAACTTCTGAAGAAATGGAAAAGTCCAATGCACGTTGAACCAATTTAGGCTGTTGCATAAAACCAAGAGCAGACAATGCGGCAAGCTTTTGATCAACTATTGGACCGTTTCTAAAAATGTTCAAAATTGCATCGAATTCTTGTTCACCGCCACCATGCATTAATACAATCTCAAAGACGGCTTGTCGGATGTTAGGATGCAAAACTGATTGATCATTTTTCTCGGTAAAAAGTTTAAAACGACGCGTAGCTTTCTTAGCAATTCTATATCATAAGTGCTTTAATCAATTTCTCGTATTCGAGTTTAGCATAATAAATAAAAAACATGTTTACTTACTCTGGATCTCCAGCTGTGCCGGCACTTTTAATAGCCAAGGTTCTTAACATTGCAGTCAGATAATCTTCATTCTCAGGATACTCCCAACCTAATCGGAGTGCCAATTTCGAGAATAATTTTCATTTGAATGATAAAAAACCCTGATAAACAGCTTCGGGCTGTTCAAACCATACGATGATAATTTTCGTGATACGAGAATCAATTTCCACTCACACACAATGAAAATAACAAATTGGGTAAAGAGAGGTGTATAATAATAAAATAATTCAGTGAAAAATACATACATACAGTGTGTTACAAAAAAAATTGGCCAAATGTAGACGCGATTTAAAACGCGACAACTTTTTACCCATGTAAACAAAACTAAACTATATAAAAGCGGTACCTTTTCGCTTTTATGCAGTATAATTTTTTTGTTGATAACATCCATTTTTGCATGTATTAAAGCTTCGAACATGACATCATCACGTCTAGAAACACATCGTCAAACAATATTACATTTTCTTAACGAGGGTGTGTGCAATGCACAAGAAATTCATAAATTAACTAACATTCCACTCTCTACAATTAAATATAATATTAAAAAGTTGAAAGAAACGGGAACTTTAGCTTATAGAAAAGAAAACGGAAGAAAAAAGAAGGTTACACCAACCGCGGCAAGGATTCTCGGTCAATTTATTCGAAGAAATCCTACTCAGTCGTTGAGAAATTTAGCTATAAAACTTTCTAAATATGATGTAAATATAAGTTACGTTACAATCAAAAGACATTTAGATGAACTGGGTTATAAAAATCAGTTGCCAATCGGTACACCTATGTTAACGGAAGCTCACAAGGCAAAACGCGTTGAGTGGGCTAAGAAGCATATTAATGACTCGTGGGAGAAAACTTTATTCAGTGATGAAACTGCATTTCAATTATTTCGAAATACAATCAAGCATTGGTATAAAGGTCAGCATCCAACTAAACGATTTCCAAAAAATCGTCAAAAAGTTTTCGCCTGGGATGGATTTTCTGTTAGGGGAAAAACGAGTTTATTCTGCTTCACGCAGATAATGGAAGCAAAATTTTATGTCGAAATACTTGAAAAACACCTCCAAGATATTAATAGTATGCTTGGAAATAATTGGAGGTTCCAGCAGGACAACGACCTCAAGCATACAAGTCACCGTGCCAAAGAATTCCTTAAGGAAAATGTCCCAGAAGTAATCGATTGGCCTTCCAATAGCCCCAATTTAAATCCCATAGAAAATTTGTGGTATATTTGTACCCCAACTTTTCTCGTCCATCCAGCCATATATCTACTCACGTCGTGCCCACTTTCTTCCAATAAATCAGCATTTCCATACAAGTGAGCTTTCAAATATTTTTGTATACCAGCATAAAAAACATTCACATCAAGTTAAAAAGCTAGCATTCGAATAACAAAGGCGCCCTTGTGATAACTTATAGCGTCGAAGATTTGAAGAATTTCACTGCAAATACGGAGAAACTATTAGGTAAGTTGTATAAATTTTAAAATTGAATCGAAAGGTTACTCAATAGGATGAGATGAACGAAGGGAGTCAAGTTGGAGACCTAGTTAAGAACTCTCAACTACATATCTAATCGAATAAAATTAGATTATTCATAAATAAAATATCTTTCAATATTTAAGTTGCTTACTGTGCCCAAATATCCCACTCTGGAAAGATTTCATCAATTGCCAAATAACCAACACAAGTAGCAAATCCTTCGTTAAGCCAGAGATGATCCCACCTAAAATAAATAATAAAGAAACTTGAAGAATATATTGAAATAAGGTCATAATTCAAATCTAAATTTACCAACCATTCCATTGTAAAAAGATTTCCAAACCATTGATGAGCCAATTCGTGAGCCACAACATAGGCTATATGTTGTTTATATCGCGCGTCAGATGCTTTTGGGTCAAAACAAATTGCAACTGTACGAAACGTGATAAGACCCCAATTCTCCATAGCACCTGATCAATAGAAAATTCATCGTTTTATAAATTTGGAAAATGCTTTAATTATCAAAAAATATATACCTATTTCGAAATCAGGAATTGCAGCCATGTCCAATTTCGGCAAGGGAAATAAGATTTTGAAGACTAATAGATTCAAAAAAATCAGATTGCATATTCATTTAGATTGAAAACACTAAATACAAGATGACGAATTATAAATACCTCGAGCAAAATAGTCAAGTGCCTTAGTCGCGACATCCAATGCGAATTCTCCTTGTTTCTCAGACCCTTTAATTGCATAAAATCGGACAAGGACTGGTTTTTTATCATTGTATTCACCAGATGTATATTTCTCGATATAAGCCAAATCTCCAACGATAAACGTCACAAGCTTTTAAAAATTTATAGAAGATTTATTAGAAAGAATCGAACATCAAATATTGTAATGTACATACATACTGCAAGTACTCATGATCGGTGTCCTTGCGAACTTCACTTCTTTTTTGTTATTTCAACTGGCTTTTCAGAGGCCATATTCATATTACTCAATGCCACAAGCTCTGTCGGGACTATCAAAGTAACATCAAAAGTAGCTTTGATTGCTGGTTCATCCCAACAAGGAAAAGCACGACGAGCATCGGTAGCTTCGAATTGGTTGGTAGCTAAATATCTATCACGGGCAATCAAATGGGTGCAGTAAATAAACTTTCGTAATTAAAGATGAAGGTTTAAAATTATACATGTACATACTTTTTGCTGCCTGTAGCATCGGTATAAGAACTACGATAAAAGCCACACATCTTATCATTTAGAGTTCATTTGAAGTCAATTTTCAAAACAGCTGATGCGCCGGCTTGCATTTCATTTGGAAAGTAAAAGTTGCGATCTGTTTTTCATTGTTATATGATATATCTGATGCATTGATACTGCGAAATTTGGATAAATGAGGAGAAATTATATGTGGATAACTTGTTTTATGTATCGATTTTTTGATACCTATTAAGCTTAGCAGCTTGAACTTCAATTTCATGAGTATTTAACGTAATTTGCTTCGTATTTTCATCGATAGTAATGCTATATAGTTGTAAAGATGTTAGCAAACATAAATTATCGCGCTATTATTAAAGCTTTTTTTTATAAACTATATAATTTATAAAATTCACTTTATAGTTTCGCTTCAGTTAAAATTAAATTCTTCCAAATTAAGAGCCAAGGTTAAGTCATAATGAGTTGGCTTCACATTGATAGGTAACGTTTTGACGTTCAGTTACAGTAAATTAGCCATTCTAAGAAATATTTCTCGAATAAACGAATGAAATTGAAAAGAACAATGGTTATAGATGAAGCTAAGGTCTTCGAGCGAGAGCTTTTATTTGTCAAAATAGATTATAAAATCAATCATTAAATATTGTGAAAAAAACCATTTTATTATTTCATTTATACGCCATATTTCTCTATCCGATATTTCAGTTATCATATTTTTAACTAAAAATCAAACAGAAATGAGGTCAATCGTGCTATTCATCTATCATTCCGAAAGTGTTGGCATACATTCTACAAAAAAAAGCAGCTTGAACTTGAACTTGGGCATCAACGCTGGCCACTGGTGTGCTAATATCTTTTATTTAGAGTCCAAAATGGTAATCATTAATACACTTTTTTAGTTCATTATAATTCATAAATATCTAAACGAAATGACTATAGTCAAACCACCAATACTGTATAAAAGATAAACATGCAACGCTTAACCTACTACTATCGCATATCGATATTAGGCCAGTTACATCGCTTTACGAGCTTACATGTGTTAATTGTGTACATGTACAATCCGAGACTCGGAGAAAATTACATTTTAGGAACCTGAAAAAGTTTTCAGCGAAGATTTATAATTTATTGCTCTTTAGACGCCGAGATATCAATATACGCTTATTCTGAAAATACAATTTAATTTAAGTTTCAATATAAATATGTGACTGCATAATCGATATAATCAATAAAACACAACACATGGCTTATTTAGTACATGTATCATTCTAGCGTGAAATATTAATACCTTCATTGGTTGGAACTAAAATTAGCTTTAAACAGATTATTAACGTTATATATTTTGCCAATTACGTTAAGTTATTAACTTCATATAATTTTAACAATTCATATATAGGACATTCATAATCATTTATCTCATTTTAGCTCAAATTTAAGTTTCCAGCAATTTTCTGCTTTCTGGTATAAATTTGCGCTGTGTTTACATGCAGGTCATAGATGTCAAATATGAGATCATCTCGAGCGAAAATCTCGTTTTTTACATATATGAAGCAGTACGACCTGAAAAACCAAAGTTCCTGCATGATGCAAACTTATACCAGAAAGCAAAAATGGCAGATCACCTTATAGTTGTCTATTTTATGATGAGAAAATAAGACTGAGCAAATAAAACTTTGTTCCTTCAATATTGCAACTATTTAGAATATGTAAAAAAAAGAATTTTTGAACGACTTATACATGAATTGTTAATTCATATGAACTTAATATTTGAACGGAATTTTCAAAAAAGCATTCCTTAAATATAAACATAAAGCAACGTTAATAAATCTGTTCAAAGTTAATTTTAGTTCCAATCAATAAAAGTATTAATATTTTACACTAGAACGATACTAAATAAGTCATATGTTATGTTTTATCAATTATATCGAATTATGTAGACACATATGTATATTGAATCTTAAGTAGAATAAACGTATATATCAAAGTGACGTATATAGAAATGTCAGCGTCCAAAGAGTAATAAATCATATTTCTTGCGCCGAAAACTTTATCAAGATCAATCATCAAGGTTCTTAAAATGTACTTCGATTCTCAGAGATAGACACATGTAAGTGAAAACGCACATGTGATTGTCATAATATCGATAGTGATAAAAGAAACGATAGTTAGCTGTTCATTCCATATGTTTTTGGTATGCTATAGGTCAAAAGTTTTAGTTATTTATGAATTATATCGAACTGAGATAACTGTACTAATGATAATGTATTGGATTATAAAGATATTACCATATCATATTATTTCTAATACATTATATTTTGCTAGTTTAGGCTAATAAAAGAATGACATTCTTTGTAAAAATTTGTCAAAAACAAAATATACAGTAATATAAGAATAGAATCCAATTTATTATTCCTAAAATTTTATCTTGTTAATTTATAAATCATAATTGATTTTAACTATACTTACTGTCAAATGGAAAGTTTTCACACGCATCTAATACTTTTTTATAGTTGAAACATAATATTATTTAATATTATTAATAGTATTTTTTAATTCGATCATGTACGTTTTGGACAGCAAACATATCATAACTTTAAGATAAATCGTATAAAATATAACCATTATTGATAAACTCCTCATTACAGAATTTTATAAGAATTAACAAATACATGTATATGTATCCCACAATTTCTTATGGTATTATAGATAAATAGTAATTTTGAGCACAACTTGTACAAATAGACATTGCGATATAATGTATGATAAATTTATTTTTATCTGTTAAGTTATAAATAAATCAAAACCAAATCAATTACATAAAATTAATAGTGAATTCACTATTAAATAAGTTGTTAGAATGACTAATTTATGCGAAACAATAGATAAAATTCTTTCTGTCAGTACATCGGCAACGACCTTTTATAAATTCATTTTGGATATTATTATTAATTGTTAAATAAGGACAGAAAATTCTTTAAACCTTTCGAATTTACGATAAATACAAAGAATTTTGCGTATAGTCAAATGTAAGAACGCCTACCATCCAGAATATCATATACCAATTTAATAAAAATCGAGGTCGTATGAGATCACATTTCAAGGAGGTTGACCAGTATACGACTATTGATTACAATGATAATTTTTAAATTATCAATCCAAACAGTCTTGATTCTAAAATTAATTGACTAATTAGGCACTACTTCATAGTCTCGTAACAAAGATTAAATGAATCTATTTGATATGGTTCATAATTTAACATATCATTATTTGATTGGACCTCGGTATGTGGTCCGTTCTTGACATGAATAAAACATATAAAGTCAAACAATGATATTTGACGTTACTTTAAATCAATATAAATAAATTGTCATCAAATGATGAATTTACAGGTGCATAATTTTTTTATTAGTGAAATTGTCATATAGGGAAATAAAATGTGGAATAGAGTGAAGACCTTATTAATTCGATAAAAATAAATAAAAAGCTTATATAATACTATTATAAATAGTGAAATTGTGGTTAAGCATAATATTGCTTAGCTACCTATATGCATTTTCGAGAATAGATAAAGTATTATTTTCATCTTGTACAGTTTCAAAATATGTTTCTTGCGGATAAATTACGATATGACCATTGACGAATTGGTTTAACATGTCGTCGTAATATGCGTTGGTTTGTGGGTGAAATTGCTGTCTAACTTGACCAGGTTGAATATTTAGAGCATGAGATCGCTGCAAGGTAATTTGATTTGATTGCTGTCTCAGTGGCTGCTGCTGATGATTTTGTTGTTGATGCGCTTGGGAAATGACACCGCGTTGAATATTACGATTATTTTGGTAAACCTGCGACGGCATTAACGCATTTATTTGATTATTATGTCTATTATTAATTGTGCGAGCGTTAGAGCTTGTAGTTCGATCCATATTTATTTTTTTTGTTTATTTTTAACTATTAAAAAATACCGAAACATGCTCTTTATATAAAACTTTTAAAAAATACCGAAACATACTCTTTATATACTGTTTATAATGTATAAGATATTGAACTTAATTTTCTATTGGCCATTTCAAACATCAATTCAGAAAATATAAATAAGCGTGGGAATTTTCTCAGTCAAACGTATAATAATCTGGCTTGTGAAATCAAAGTACATGTATACTATCTGAGCGCTTGGGGAGTAAGTTATCGTAATGTCATGTTGATATCTAAATTAATCGGTGATGCTTGTTTCAAACTTTTTCTTTATGGAGATTCGACCGTATAATTGGGTAAAAATATTAAAACTAAACTTGTTGAGTTAGCACGTATTTTTTACCCCGCAATTTTGCAATTTCCCAATTTTGGAAAGTGTAAGTTTTGCTCTATGTGTGTGTGTGTGTGTGTGTGTGTGTGTGTGTGTGTGTGTGTTCTATGTTTCTAAAAAATGATTCGAATTTAGGAAGTTCAATAAATCGATATCATCACAAAATACATGTAATTCAGGTTGGATCACATTTGTAGATTCAAATACTGTTCTAATTAATTATCAGTGGGTCTGATGATGAATCTGATAATGATGAAATCGTCCCAATCGACGATTCAGAAGATGTTCCCAAGTTTATAAGAACAATGATTCATACGCTACATAGTCGTAATGAAGTACTTGACATACTAAATTGTCTTGAAGTAAAAATAATTTTCTTATAGTTCAAGCCAAATGATAAAATGTTTATTTCTTAACGTTAATACTTACAAATTAAATAATAAATCTTCGTTTATGATAGATCACTGGTGATACTGCCATTTTCAGAAAATTTAAGTATCTTCATGGGTTACTTGTTTTAAAGGCGTACCTAGTCGAATGGAGACAGAATGATGAGATCATTCTGAAAGTATGTTTTTTATTATGACGTTATATAATAATAATAAATTTTATCATTCTTAATATTTTTACTAGACTTTAGAAGTGTTATAAAACTACCAATTTAGGCTCGAAATACTATAACTGACACTAAAATTGAAGAGAAAATGGAGATATTCAAGGAATGATCTCCACGTTAGTCGATTCTGTAAGCATTGTTTTATAATTTATGTTAGTTTTCTCTATTTACTGACTAAAAAATTTTTTTTTATTTTATAGCTCCTAGAAAAATGGTGAAGTCTGACTGTTTTATGTAGATACCCAAAAAAGACCGTAAGTGCATTTTTAAGTAAAAATTAACTTTATTTATAATTATTTCATATATTATACCTTATGCACACATGTGACAATAAATGTTATTATGAAAAGAGCAACTCAAATAAGAACAAAAATTCTTGGAAGAAGTAATGCAAAAGAAATAAAGAGAAATGAAAAAAAGAAAAAGAATAAAGAAAATGTGAGGAGTAAGAAGCACAAGCTCGGCGGAGAAATTATTACAACAATCATAGCCACCATTTTTCAAGATATTACACGCATTACACTCCTTAACATTATAATCATAATCATTATTGTAACAATTACAATATTAATAATGATCAAGAACAAAGGATCCAGAAGTGACTTTTATGATTTGTATAGACCATCTTCAACTAATTCGTATCGGTCATCATATAATAATAACAATGGACCAACAGTCACATCTACAGATCGGTATCGAACTACTCCACAGATAGTCACGCGTCATCAACCAAGAAATTCAAATATAAGTAAAAGTTTGGATACAACATCAGTAATTAATGACAATAAAGCAGCAACGTCATCATCACAAGTAAATTTTACTACACCACTTCAACTACCATAGCCAACTTCTTCATTATCTGTTTCCACTTCACTATCGCAAGGTTTAGAATATATCAAAAAATATTTGTTACCACAGAATTTGTGTGAAGTTGTTGGGGATGAAGGGGCGAAGAAGGAACTGGCGGCTGCAACGAGCGAAAGGGAGTTTATAGCGAAGGTAAAAAGTTATTCGTGTTATTTATTAAATTAATTAAATTTTAGATATTTAGAAATATTCATTTCATATTACCTTTGTCTTATAGAAACAGCTCCAAATGTTGGTGGTCGATTATTGCAGCTGCTAGAAAGGGAAGTTTACGGTGGTGGCGTTCAAGCAGTGTCTGAAATACATGTTTTCCAAATTCTTCACATATTTTGTCTTTGGGATGTGCATGATTTTCACATAAATTTTAAAATCATAGAGCACATTTTTTCTATAATAAATGTCATCAGCCGTGCACATTCTTCACATCGTGCACATAAATAATATTATTGGTTCACCTAATCAGAGTTTTCTATTGGTTCACGTGGCATTAAAATTGTCAGATCTGTGATCAATGTTCATAAATTGAATTTTAAACTTTGCTCCCCGCTTCGAGATAATGAGTAGTCCAATTACAAAATTCCTCATTCAGGGTGACGTAGCTGGCAAGGGAGCGTCAAATCGTCTGCTTAAGGAAAATCTTAGGTTAACACAGCATGGAAAAATCATACCTATGGATTGTTAAAGAGACCGTTGATGGTGAAAATCGTATGTTCTGTGAATGGTGCTGAGAATCTAGACAGAAGAATATTTTTGCTGATAGTGGATGCAGTTGGATTAAAGAAGAATCTCTCACACGACATCAAAAAACTCGCAGCCATCAAAAAGCTGCCAAAGGAAAATCAATTAACCAGACAGATCTATTGAGTAGTTTTTCAATTCAATTTGGTGAAGATAAGGTGAAAATTATTTGTCAAATGCGATCTGCCCACTTTTTGGCTAAGCATCATCTCGCTCTTGAAAAATACTCTGAACTTTGTCATTTGGTGGATTATTCACATGCCAATTATAATTGTATCATATTGGATAGTCAACCATAAGCAGTAGAACCACCTTCATTAGAATTTAGCAATATGTCATCCATGTCAAGTAGCAATTATGCTGCATACATAAATCCCAAAACTGCTCGTGAAATTATAGGATCATTGGCATGAATTATTGAAGAGATATTGTGAAATCTCCATTTTGGAGCTTAATGATCGATGAATGCACCACTATTTCAAAAAAAAAAACTTGTGCATTGGTTTCAAAACATATCATCAACAACATACCAACAATTTGCTATTTTGGAATGTTAAATCTAACGGATCAATCAGCCACACATATTATTAATCAACTTTTTAGTCTTCTTTTCTTCAAAAAATCTAACCTTATATATCACATCATTTAGCTTTGGCCATATCAGATATAACTCATAGTTTGGACTATTTTGAAAATTATGAATCAATTATTCATAGCATCTATAATTATTGGTCAGCATAAATCAAATATTGTGATGAATATTCTTAATATGGCTGATATATGGCTTTCTTGAAAAATATTATACATAATCTTTATCAAATACTTGATAATGCCAAATTGGCATTTCAAAAAGAAAAAATACAAACTGCTACTCATTGATATTCAGTAATGGATCAGAAAATTTTCATAATGACAAAATTTTTGGCTGATATATTATACATTTTATAAAAACTTATCAGTATTTTTCAATCTGACTATGTATCTCTTGAAGAGATTAAAATATAATTAATAATGGCTATTAATATTATAACAGTAGAATTTTTGGAATTTAATGATAATTCTTCTCATCTTGATATTAATCTTCTTGAATATCTATCAGAATATAATATTATAATTGATAAACTTTTATTCTTTATCAAAGACTATACTTAAAATACTATTACAAGCTTAAAATTCAATTTTCTGGCTCCTTCTTATACTATACTTTACAAATTTTTGATCTAATCTGTAATGAAAAAGAGATAAAAGAATTATGCATATTTTATGAAAATTTCTAAGAAAATTTATAAAGAAACTTTTTAATTATTAATAAAAAAAGATAAAATTATAAATAAATAAAATGTTGCAAAATATTTGATTAATAATTTCAAATAATTTTATTTTTCAGAAATATGACAAAGAATTTTTGAAACTTCTAATTTTATTAATGAGTTTTTAAATTTGTATCATTTAATCAATATTATTTTAATTATATCTTTAATAAATACTTATATTAAACATATCTTTTCTCATTAATAATTAATAAAAACAAAGTATAGAAATCAATTAAAAATTGATATATTAAATAATTATTTATTGATCACTTTAAATAATTTATCTTTTAATATTTTTGATTATAAAAATATATATTATTTATTAATTAATATAAAACTATCTTGATTTTAATTATTAGTTATTATATTAAATAATCTTTAGTCAAGAAACAAATAGATTTGAATTCACTAACTATTAAGAAGTTTATACCTATTCCTTGAAATAAAAACAAAAAGAAAAAATTATTGAATAATAGAAATTAACTGCTAAACAAGAAAGATTTCTTAACTATTAGAAGATAATACTAATATTTTTATAACTGAATTATATTAATTTGATTGAAGTAATATAATTCAAAATGAAATATATACTGAAAATGAATCATCTATTAAATAATGATCTTATAGAATCACTCTTTCAGATTAATTATTCATTGTAACAATTTTGATTAGATTATCTTTCTTTAGTTTTCTTTTAGCTTAGATCTTCATTTTGCACTATCTGTATAATAGATTAGCTTTGTATTACATTTTTAAGAAGATCATTTTCACTCTGGATACACAGATGATCATTATGTATTAAATACT